TATAGTTTAACTAATTCCAATAAAGTTATGTATCGTTTCATAATGATAAAGATAGAATTAACACTTAGTTTAATAATAAAACACAAATATACAATAACAATGAAACATAATCATATTAAGTATCATAACATATTTAACTAATTCAAATAAACTAAACATAATAATTAAATCAAAAATATAAACATGCTTCATTATGTTTGAAGTTACATTGCAAAGTGTAATGAAAGAAATATACCTAGAGAAATGATGACAAAACAATAATGAAAGCAAAACTCAATTCCCCTCCCAAAAGACCACCCACGATGAAATATATATATATTTTTTCTTTTTAGAAGTAATGATTTTTCCTCTTCTAATTTTCTGTTCTTGTTCTTTTTTCTTTTTTTTTCCTTCCCTTGAAATGAAAGAAGAATGGGGTTTAAATAGGTGTGGAGCATTAAACCCCCCACTCTTCTTGAAAACTTAAGAGTCAATGCATGCATTAGACTCTTTGTTTTCCCAAGGTGCCACCCAAGATGACCAATGAAATTTTCTTTTTTTTTTCTTTTTCTTTTTTCAAGATAAAATTAATTAAAAGACTACATTGCCCTTTTAGATGACCCATTTCTTTTATTCATTAATTGAATAATAGCTAAATGGGTCATCTGAAAATTTAGAATAGGCCCAAAAATGTCATTTTGGATGACCCATTTCTTTTACTCATTAATTGAATAATAGCTAAATGGGTCATCTGAAAATTTTAAAATAGGCCTAAAATTGATCAAGACCCAAAAATCAGAACAAAATCAGTCCACTAACACAAAATCTAAACATGTAAACTATTTTGAAGATCAAACACAACAAATAAGGCAGAAAAATAAAAATAAGAAATAAAAACGAAATTAAAAAATAAAACAAAAATAATAATAATAATAAAACTCAAGCAACAACTTAAACATGAACTTGAAAAACACTAACAAAACAATATAAATCCGGCATCAAAACAACTTATATGGTTTAAAAAATGTGATAATGACGGATTTGGATAGAGGATGAGAGGGGGAAATGATTGACATAAATTTTCGGACGATTGGAGGTCGCCGAAAAATTCCGTTGGAATTTTTCTGACGGATTTTGGAAATAAACTTTACATCAAAGGATAGCCCTTGAAGAACTCTACACTTTTATGTAAAGGATATAGGACGGGGATGGCCGGAACTTCGTAAATCTAAAGAAAAAAGTGAAGATTTATGTTTGGTTTTTCTTAGATTTACGGAGTTTGGCTATGAATATGAATGAATGGTTTGCGGATTTGTGTAGAGGAGGATGAAAGGAAGAAGTGGTAAAAATTTAAAGATTTTTCCGGCCAAGGGGTGGTGGCGGTAGCCGGCCGGTGGTTGGTGGAAGCAAAGGGGAGAAGAAAAATAAAAAAAATGGCAATAAAAATTTGATTTTGGGATTTTGTATTTTTGGTAGGGTCCCATAAGAACCCTTGGATCAAAAAATCATGGATGGTTGAGATTTAATCTTGACCATTTCTATTGGATCGGGTCAGAATTGATTGGGCCATCAGAATTTGGTCTAAATCAACCCAATTCAATAAAAAATTGGGTCATTTAGGCCAATAAAAAAATAATATAAACAAAGACAAACTACCCAAAATACAAAACAAAAACTATAAGAATATATATATATATTATAAGAGTAATATAAACACATCAAAAATTAGGTGTTTACAGCATGCCCCTCTTTGCTTGGAAACATGAAGAGTTTTCAACCGAAGAAAGTGAACGAAGTGGCTAATTTTTTACTGTGCAAACTCCGTTGAAACCATTTTGAAAAAGATGACCGAACCTTGCTTTAGAGGTTGCCTACATATCCTTAATTAAAAGGAAATCAGGTCAGTGTAGTTCGAGAAACTTTGATAGTTGAAACTATCAGAAATTGCGGTCAAAAGATTGCTTGTCATCATCTACTGTCTATAATTACAAAGAAGAGAGCTATAGAACTATGTCTCTCTACATTATAAGAGTTACAAGATCCCTACTTGATGTTTTTCTTAGGGTCTCGTCTTGATTTTTGACTTGCTCTGTGCGTTATCTTTGATATTGATCTTTATGCTCTCTTGGCGGCTTGCGGATCATTCTCAGGTGCATGTTTTAACTTGAGTTGGCGGTTGAAACTCAAAACTCAAGATCACAAAATGAAGAACCCAAAAAGGATGTGTTTCTGTTAGGGAAGAAAAAAAATGAGAATATTAAACTAGGACGTATAACCCTAGAAAGAAAAGGAGAAGTGGGGTGTGTTGCCCTGAGAGTTTCAAATAAGACGTATTGTCTTTGTGGATTGTCCTAAGATTGGGTATATCCCCAAAAATGTGAATATGGTGTGTATAACCCATGAATGCTGGTGCGTATTGCCCAGAATATGCATATGGTGCGTATTCCCCATGAATAGAAAATTGATGCATACTACATGTGAATAAAGACTGGTGTGTATTGCACATGAAAGAAGACTAATGTGTTTTGCACATGAATGCAATATCTATGTGTATTGCATGTGATTTGGATTGGTATGTCTTGCTCATGAAAGAAAGACTGGTACGTTTCGCACGTGAATAAAGGACGAGTGCGTATTTGCACAGAATTCAGATTGATGCGTATAGCAGGAAATTCAGATTGGTGCGTATTGCACATGAAAAGGATGGTGCGTATTGCACATAAATAAGGGATGTGTGCGTATTGCACGGAATTTAGAGTGGTGCATATTGCCCGAAGCTCTCGAATTGAGAGGTAAAAATGCGAATAGCATGAGATGAAACAACAAACATGTGAAGACTTTGGAGAACTTCCGTTTTGTGATGTTTCGTTTTTTACTTGTAATCCCGCATTTTCTTTTGTTCCTGTGTTGAGCAAAAGAAAGAGAAAATTGTTAGTTTAAAGTGCGGTTGGTTTGTGGCCTTGATGCTCCGATGACTTGACCATATTCCTGACCAATTTCTCCCATTCTACTCAAAATTCTCGGTTGAACAACCTTTGAAGCTTCCTCTTTGTTGATTCAGGGGAGCTGATCTTTTTGGTACTACGAAATATCATGGTGCGACTGGATGTTCCAAAGGATGAATTTTCCTGTTGAATATTTTTCATGACTTAAGAGACTATAACGTGCTCCTTCACGAGTTTTCAGTGAAGATTTGAGGCCTTTTTAGTCCTTGCTCGAGGCATGTCAACTCGGATACTCAGCTTTACTCTTGGGAACCCGTAGTAAGTTTTGCAATCTTTTACCTTATTTGTCAAGAGATTATACCGAAAAGACTAGAGAAATATCAGATTTAAGAGTGTGAAAAAAAAATTGGATCAAGAAAGACTATAAACCTAAGGAAGGGCATTCCTTTTGAAGAAAAATGAGAAAGAGAACTTATCTGGAGGCATATGTCGACTTTGAGTGAACCATGACATGCACTTTGGACTTGACCCTAGATCCGCTTGAGTTGTCTAATTCTCAAAATCTGAACCATTATCAATTTATAACTGATCTATGTATTCTTCATGTAGAGGTATCGAGAAATGGATGTTCTCTTCTTTTATCTTAAGATTCCCTGCAAGGGTTTTCACCGATAAGATTTTCTCTATTGTCGTCTTATGGTGCCTATAAAGGTTTTCACTGATAAGACTTTTTCTTTTCTTTTTTTTGACAAAGTTGTCCTTGATAATCAATTGTCCGTGCAAGACACACCGAATTTATCGTTCTCAGAGTTGATCAAAATGTTGGTTGCTAGAATAAAATCAAAAACAAAATCAATTTGACTCTATTCTATCAAAAAAGAAAAAAAAATGCCCCAGTTTTCTATAGATACTGGAATATTGATTATTTTTTTTTTGGTATGACAAAGGGTTGCCTACGTATCCTTTCGGAATTAGGTTAAACTTAGTTCAAATTTTCAAAGAGAGTTTTTTTTCTTTGGTTTTTTTTTTAAGAGATGTCTTTGTTCTCTCAGCCACAAACTTGTCACAATATCTTAGAACGCATTAGATGTAGTATTTTTTTACTGCGTCCGCATTAACAATTATGCTTGTGATTTTTCCCTCCATATCAGTAAGGTGTAAGGCTCCTTTGGACAACACTTCCTTGATAAGATATGGACCTTACCAATTTGGGGCAAACTTTCCCTTGGCCTCTTCTTGGTGCAGGAGAATGCGCTTTAAGACCAGTTGACCTACTTCAAAGTGTCTTGGGTGCACCTTTTTGTTGAATGCACGAGCCATCCTTTGTTGATAAAGCTGACCAAAACAGACGACCGTCAATCGCTTCTCATCTATTAATGTGAGCTTCTCTAGTCGGGTTTTGACCCATTCAGTATCTTCAATTTCAGCCTCGACAATAATTCGAAGAGATGGAATTTCAACTTCCGCTGGTATCACAGTCTCAGTCCCATACACCAGCAAATAAGGAGTTGCACCAATTGAGGTGCGCACTATTGTGCGATATCCTAAAAGTGCAAAAGGCAGCTTCTCATGCCATTGTCTAGTGCCTTGAACCATTTTCCTGAGAATCTTTTTGATATTCTTGTTGGCTGCCTTCACAGCTCTGTTGGCCTTTGGTCGGTATGGAGTAGAATTGTGATGCATAATTTTAAACTGCTCATATACCTCCTTCATCAAATTGCTATTAAGGTTTGCATCATTATCTGTGATGATAGTTCTTGGGATACCAAAACGACAAATGATGTTTGAATGGACAAAATCCACGACCACCTTCTTAGTGACTGCCTTGAAAGTGATTGCCTCTACCCATTTAGTAAAGTAATCAATTACGACCAAAATGAATCGATGTCCATTTGAAACTTTTGGCTCAATTGGTCCGATGACATCCATTCCCCATGCAACAAAGGGCCAAGGAGCGGCCATGGGGTGCAACTCTGAAGGAGGTGAATGAATGAGATCACCATGAATTTGACATTGATGACATTTTTTCACAAAGCGAAAGCAATCCCGTTCCATGGTAAGCCAGAAATATCCTGCTCAGAGTATCTTTTTCGTAAGGACATATCCATTCATGTGTGGTCGACATACCCCAGCATGTACTTCATTCATGATCTTCTCGGCTTCTTTAACATCCACACATCTCAATAAGTTCAAATCTGGGGTGCGTTTATATAAAATTTCCCCGCTAAAAAAGAAACCACTAGCCAAACGTCTAATAGTTCTTTTTTGGCTTCCATTGGCATGTTCGGGGCATTTCCCTGTTTGCAAGAAATTCCTGATGTCTAGGTACCACGGCTCACCATCTGATTCTGCTTCCACAGTGTTACAATAACCATGTTGGTCCCGAAGTTGAATCTCCAAGGGAGTAATACAAGTGTTTTCAGGATATGGAAGCATTGAGGCAAAAGTAGCCAAAGCATCTGCCAATTCATTATGAAATCTGGGGATGTATCTAAACTCGATGGACCTAAACCTTTTGCTAAGATCTTCCACACATTGTTTGTAGGGAAGAAGCTTGAGGTCTCGAGTTTTCCATTCGCCCTGAGCTTGCCTAATAAGCAAATCAGAATCTCCCAACACAATCAATTTTTGCACACCCAAATCTATTGTCATATTTAGACCCATGATGCAAGCTTCATACTCTGTTGTGTTATTTGTACAGAAGAAACGAAGTCGAGTTGTCGCAGGGTAATGCTGTCCTGTGGGAGATATGAGAATTACCCCAATCCATGTGCCTTTTTTGTTGATTGTTCCATCAAAGTATAATTGTCAGGCCTGGTTTTCATCTAGATTTACTTCTTCAACTGAGTTAATCTCTTCATCTGGAAAATATGTATCCAGTGGTTCGTAGTAGCCATCAACTGGATTCTCTGCCAAGTGGTCTGCCAGAGCTTGAGCTTTTATTGCAGTTCGAGTGACATATATAATGTCAAATTCAGTGAGCAAGATTTGCCATTTCGCGAGTCTGCCAGTTGGCATTGGCTTCTGAAAGATGTACTTCAAAGGATCCATCCTGGATATGAGGTAAGTTGTGTAGGACAAAAGGTAATGCCTTAACTTTTGAGCTACCCAAGTTAGGGCGCAACATGTCTTTTCCAAGAGGGTGTACTTGACCTCATAACTAGTGAATTTCTTGCTCAAGTAGTAGATAGCTTGCTCCTTCCTGCCTGTGGAATCGTGTTGACCGAGAATGCACCCAAAGGAATTATCTGTCACTGAAAGATATAGAAAGAGGGGCCTATCAAGTTCAGGCGGGACCAACACGGGAAGTTTGGACAAATATTCCTTGATTTTTTCAAAAGCTTGTTGACAATCATCCGTCCATCGAACAACAACATCCTTTTTCAAAAGTCTGAAAATGGGCTCACAAGTGGTTGTGAATTGAGCAATAAACCTGCTAATATAGTTCAACCTCCCAAGTAGACTCATGACTTCGGTCTTATTTTTTGGGGGTGGCAAATCTCGAATGACTTTTATTTTGGAAGGATCCAATTTGATTACCCTTCTACTGACAATAAAACCTAGAAGTTTTCCAAATGGAACTCCAAATGCACATTTTGTTGGATTAAGCTTGAGATCATATCTTCGCACTCTTTCGAAGAATTTCCCAGATCTTGCACATGGTCAGCTTGTGGTTTAGACTTGATGATTATGTCATCGACGTATACTTCGATTTCTTTATGCATCATATCATGAAACATGGTGGTCATAGCCCTCATGTAAGTTTCCCTAGCATTTTTAAGACCGAATGACATGACCCTATAGCAATAAGTCCCCCATGGAGTGGTGAAAGCAGTTTTCTCAGTGTCCTCTTCGTCCATCAAGATTTGATGATACCCTACATAGCAGTCCACAAATGATTGAATTTCGTGTCTGGCACAATTATCCACTAGAATGTGGATATTAGGCAAGGGAAAATTGTCTTTTGGACTAGCTTTGTTCAAATCCCGATAGTCAACACAAACTCTTGTATTTCCATCCTTTTTTGGCACAGGAACAACATTTGCCAACCAAGTAGTGTAACGAATGGTTTGGATCACATTTGCATTTAGTTGTTTCATGATTTCTTCCTTGATTTTTTCACTCACGTCCGGTTTGAATTTTCTTCTATTTTGTTGGACGGGTGGAAAATCAGGATGAGTGGGCAAATTATGGACCACTAAATCAACACTCAAACCTGACATGTCATCATAGGACCAAGCAAACTTCTTTGTATTCAAACAAAAGTTGTATTATGGCATCCCTGATTTCCTTCTTGACATGAAGACTTATTTTTATTTCTTTGACTTCCTCATTACTTCCCAAATTGATGGCCTCAGTTTCACTAAGATTAGGCTTAGGTTTGTGCTCAAATTGTTCCAATTTCCTATTAATTTTCCTAAAAGCCTTTTCTTCATCATATTCAGCCTCTAGACTCGGAGATTCAAGAATAAACAATTTTTTGAGATTTGGGAGTGAATTTCGCATGCATGTCATGTTATCAAAGCAGACATTTACAGAACTGAAAAATGGAGAATAAGAACGGGGAAAGGAAAAGACAAAATTTTACTATGAAACTGGAATTTCATTTCATTGAAATTAAAAAAGGATAGAAGGGTTGACATTAAAACAAAACACTTTCAAATATTCGGATCACAACCCTGACAACAACAAAAAACAAAAGAGTAGCAAAACAAACTACCAAGACTCCTTTCTTATGGGGAAATGAGTGGCTTCCCAATTGTTTAACTCAAAACCTGAGCCCACGAGCTGCACATCGGCATGACTTGTACCTTCACCAACTTGGACCATATTTACTTCACAAAACAACTGACTGAGATCCTGAATAACTTCTTCAATGTCTTCATGAGTAAATGAAGCTTCCATTTCTGGACCCTGAGGCTTGATAAAGGAATGATAAATATGGGGAATTGGTTGTGGCAACGCCCAATCAGTCCTTTTGTGGTTCTTAGTCTCATCTCCATTTCTCTTGCTTTGTTTGTATCCGAGGCCAGAGGTGCCTTGGTTCCCTAAAAGAGTAATGGGATCCACAATTCCTTGCGAACATAGTCCCAAACCTTTACCAGGTTGACAACCATATTTGAGCATTGTCGTTGCTACCATTGAAGAGGAAGAAGAGAGACATGGTTGGATAATGGGGTCTCCTTCTCTAAAGCGATCGACTGATACAACCTCAAAAGACTGGTAAACAATGGAATCACATCCTTCTTTTGCCTCAATGTATGGAATGGAGGGATCTCTGTAAATAGGCAAATCATCTTCCACATGCACAATGATTTCCTGATGGTTGTGTTCAAACTTAACAACTTGATGCAAAGTTGATGGGACTGCCCGAGCCGTGTGGATCCATGGCCTTCCCAATAGAAAATTATAAGATGTGTCCATGTCCATTACTTGGAACACAATCATAAAATCCACCGGTCCAATTGTCATGTTTAACTTTATTTCACCAATGGTATCCCGCCTTGAGCCGTCATAAGCTTGAACAAATACATTGCTGGGGCGAATTCTGGCAAGGCTAATTTTTAAGTTTTGCAGCGTAGAGAGAGGACATATGTCTACCCCCGATCCCCCATCTACCATGACCCTCTTTACATAGTACCCTTCACATTTCACTGTAAGAAGCAAAGCTCTATTGTGTCCAGCTCCCTCTGTGGGCAACTCATGATCAGTGAAAGTGATGGTGTTTGACTCAAAGATGCATTTGGCCATTTTCTCTAACTGATTTACCGTGGTCTCCTTCGATACATGTGCTTCATTCAAAATCTTATTCAACACACGACGATGTTCTTCTGAGTGCAAGAGTAGAGACAACAATGAAATTTATGTCGGGGTTTTCTTCAATTGTTCCACAACAGAGTAACTGGAACCTTAATCTTTTTAAGAAACTCTTCTGCTTCTTCCTCAGTAACTGTTTTCTTCAGTGGTACTTGGATATTTTGAGTCATCTTCCATTTTCTTAATTCTTCTAGAGAATAACATATTCCACAACGTGTCAGCCCTCCTGCTTCATCAACCTCTTCAACAATCTCCTTTCCTTAGTAAACCACATCGATTTTGTTATAGTTCCAAGGGACAGCCTTTGAATCAATTACCGAAAGTTGTTGGACGGGCTTAACAAAGATAGGTCCTTTCAACTTTGCCAAGCAATTTTGGTCCTGTTGTGTTAATGAAAAACCCTTTGATACATACAACTTCGGCATACCTGCTCGAACTTCAATCCCCTTCGAAACCCCCGGGACACACAAAACTTTGGTATCAAGGTTGACACCTTTCACACTCAAAGATGCAACTGGTTTTAAACTCTTTATCGGCTTGTTTTCCTCTCCGATCTTCTTAAACAACTTTCTTATTTTGCCAAGGAGTTTGTACTCTTGATCATCGCAGATCATACCCACTAAATTGTTTTGAGCTGGAAGTGGGTTATTAATCACATTGGGAGTGTTTTGATCATCTGTCACAACGACCACTCCATGATCGATTAGCTTCTTTATTGCCCCCTTCAAGGTCCAACAATTATCAGTGTTGTGTCCTGGGGCCCCTGAATGATACTCACATCTTTCATTGGCTTGGAAACGTGAAGCAGTTGGATTCAGACGATGTGGTGGGATAGACCCAATCACTCCTATCTTTCTTAACTTTTGAAACAAGCTGGAATATGACTCTCCCAATGGAGTGAATTTCCTTTTTTGTCCTTGCTCTTGATCATAATTTTGCATAGGAGGAGGGTTGTAAGGGACCTGATAGGGTAGTCGTAGTGGGCGAAGGTTTCCTTGAGTTAGGGCCCGAAAATGTGGGCGATTAGGAGAATGCACATATGACTGAGCATTGAAGACCGTGTATGGAGATGGAGATACTGGATATTGAGGGACATAAGGGTAGTAATGTTGAGGATAGCTAGATTGTCCCTGAAGTGGTGGGTAAGGACAATTAGAATTCCTTTGAGCACCCCTTGACCCTGATGCTAGCGAAGAAACTTCCACTTTTCTTTTACGATTCCAAAACTGCCTGAACCACCTTGAATGGCCTGTGTGGTAGCTTTGATTGCTACCTGGCTCACAATCCTTCCTGTTTTTAGACCACTTTCAACCATTTCTCCAATTTTGATTGTTGTGTGAAACGGTATTCCCATTGCGGCTGTCAGGTGGTGGAAATAGTCAGGATCTTGAGCCTCTATGAAGATATCAACCAATTCTTGTTCATCTAAAGGTGGTTTGACCCGGGCTGCTTGTTCCCTCCATTTGATAGCATACTCTCTGAAGCTTTCATTTGGCTTTTTTCTCATATTAGAAAGTGTATTACAATTTGGCATAATGTCGACATTGTACTGAAATTGTCTAACAAAATCTTGAGTCATATCATCCCAGATGTGCCAGTGGGAGATCTCTTGGTTCTATAAACCATTCTGAGGCAACACCAGTCAGGCTCTCACCAAAATAAGTCATGAGCACTTCCTCTTTACCCCTTGCACCTCTAAGTTGATTGCAGTATCTCTTGAGGTGAGCTATGGGATCACCGTGCCCGTCATACTTATCAAATTTAGGGGTTTTGAATCTAGGTGGCAAGTGGACATTTGGGAACATACACAAGTCTTTGAATGCGACACTCTTGTGCCCTCCTAGCCC